TAAGGGTATTTGCTTAGGCGTAAGGGATTGAAGCCATGTGAATTGTCTTGTCCATCTGCATGTCCATTTGCATGGTGCCACTATTTTTCACGTAAGAGGGATTATCACTTCTTGGAGCTATCTCCAATTTACTGCTCCTTACCACTTCTTCTTTACCTGCCTTGGAACACGATCCTTCTAACATCTTGTCACCAATTGGACTCTCCTTACAGGTCCCTTACTTTTATCTACAATCAAATCTTTCTTTTCCTACAACCCCAGATTTGTTTTAAATAGGGGCATAGGCTTTTTGCCTTTCTGTTTGTCACTGATCCTGCCAGGGTTTGCGATTACGCTTTCCTTGATACCTCGTTTCTGAGCCAACTGTGTTTTACCTCCTGTCTCAATATTTTTACCTTGATTGTCTCCCTTTTTTGTGTTAGAGAGACTGAGGTTGTGCTGTATGGTTTGTTGACTGTTGAAAGCTTTTGGCTTCTGTTTTGTCTTTTTCCTTTGGACCAACATCCACTGTCCATACCCATCATGATCATCTTCGTCCTTTTTTGCATTCATGCTTGATGCAGGAGCTTCTGCTTCCTTGTTGAGGTTGGTTGTAGCAGTAATTAATGGTATTTCAGGACAAAAATCTTTTCTTTGCCCAATTTTCCCACAACCAAAGCACAGCATACCAATCCCCTCGTAAACGATTGCTTGTTTCTTCCCCTTCACCATGACAAAGCTCTTCAAGGGTTTATCCAAGTTAACTTGCAACATAGCCTTGCAAATTTCCCTCTTTCCTTATTCAGGGTGCAACTATTCACTCGTAATAGCATACCAATGTGCTTACCTATCTTGGTTAGGATTCCAATGTCATAATTCTCGATAAGTAGCTCAGGCAGTCTAGACCATACTGCCACCGAGAAGAATGATGCCTCTGAAGCTCTGAAGCTTGGTGACCATTTCCTTATAGCTAGAAAATGAGCTCCCACAAACCATAGCTCCCTTTTAATACCATAATCATAGTCGTCTAAGTTCTGAAATTTGATTAGAAAGTAATCGCATCCTAGGTCAATGGCATAGAATTTGGCTTGTGTCTTCCATATTTGATTTAATTTGAAGACAAGATTCTGGTAGCCAACGTTTCTTCCAAAAACTTTAACTATCAGCATTTTGGCCCATTTGATCCTGATTCTGTTCTTTTCTTCCATGCTGAGCTTGATATTTACATTATCAGTTTCATCTCCATTCTCCTGGTCCATTGGCTCCTCCTCGGAGTCAGTTTCCTCAGGTTCCACATAGTTTTGATCCGTCGCTCCATATGCAGCTTCCAGTAAGTAATCACGATAAGAAATCGTTTTTCTTTGGGTGAGGGTAATAGAGTTTTCTCCCTCACTACTTTCTTTCCCAGTGTGAGAATCTTTGATTTTCTTTGTGCTGCACCGAAGAGCATCTTCTTTTTCACGAGAGAGAGCAAGGCTGTTGTCGAGAGAGTTTGTTTTCATTTTTTCCCCCTTAGACTATGTTTGGATAATATTAATAAAAAAAATAAAAAAAAAGTTTTTTAAAAGAAAGAAAATGATATATGTAACTTTTATTTGAATAATTAAAATTAATAAAAAAATGAAATGAATTCTAATAATTATTGTTTGGATAAAAAAAATGATTCATTATAATAATTTTTTTTAATTATAATTTTTCATTGTTTGTGATTTTTTAACATTCTTGAATCATGATATATTTGCTATCTTGTTTGACTTTACAATTGCTGTTATATCAATATTTTTTAATCAAGTGAAATAAGAAAATATTTTACAAACATGTATTGATAGATTTTGAGCTGGTCTGTTATCTCTTGAACCCAAAAAATATATCTATTCATATTTAACCATTTATCAAAATCAAATCATCAAAAAATTATAGGAAAATTTTTATATTGAAAGAGATATGTGAAACTTACTTCAAAAAATATATGATTTTGAAAAAAATTACAGAATAATTATAATCTGTTTAAATTTTTTTATTAGATTTTTAGTATTAATAAAAATATGAACATAATAATCTTTTTATAAAAAATAATTTTCAGCTTTATTTTTCTTAGCTTTTCCTCTAAATTGAGGCATTAAAAAAATTAAATTTATAAAAAAAACCAAAAGTTATTTGATTTTCACTTCTTTCTCTTTCTTTAAATTAAAAATTTATCCAAGTAAGAGAATGTGATTTTGTTTTCTTTACATTCTTTTACTTTACTTTACTTTCCTTCTCTCCCTTCAATCTAAATATATTATTAAGGCTCAATTTGAATGGATAGTGAGATTAAAAATAATAATAAAATTTACTATAATTACAATTAAAAAAAATTGTAGCTATGATTAAAAAAAAATTTAATAAAAATTTTATATTAATTTAATTTCACTAAAATTAAAATTAAAATTTAATTGAAAGTACGATAAACTTAATTACATCACATCAAAAATAAAATCTACACGGCTACTAAATTTTAGTTGTAGCTATATTGGCATGAGAAAGAGCCGAAAGGTGAGACTGCTGCATATTTTGATATATCATTTAACTTTAAAAATTATTACTATTATTTTAAAAAAATAAAAAACATGTTTAGAGTCGCTTAATTATCATGTTTGTAATGATAATGTTTGTTCAAAAGAACCATCGATTAAGTTCATACATGTATATCTCTTCAAATTATTGCCTAGGGGCTAGGGCCTTAGCCCAATTGATATCAATTGCATGTTTTTAGCTACCCACCACCAAAAATATCTAACATTACATTACCTATCTCATCTCATATTCCAATCTTACGACAAAAATTTGGCTTAACATTCAACTAACCACCCATTTCCCCATCATTATAAATTAAAAAAAATTATTTCATTCATTACAAGTAAAGTTTTTAAATTTAATAAATAAAATTAATAAAATAATATATATTTTAAAAGTGTATTTAAAAACAAAAAATTAATTAAAAAATAGCACATAATCAATCCCTTAATCCAACTTGTAAAATTAAAAAATTATATTAATATAATATTAAATACTAGATCAAACTACAAAATTTTTTTTTGCTTAAATAAACAAATGTAGAACTAATTCTTAACTCAATTATTTTCTTTCATTATTTTTAAAAAGTAATATTTAATAAATATAAAATTTAAATTCTAATATTTATAATTTTATAATTTTTAAATTAAGATTTAAAAAAAAAAGCAAATGCAATATTTATTTATTTTTAAGTTTCATATTTGATAGTTGAATTGAAAATTGATGTGATGGGTAGGCAAAAAAACTCCGTAGTTTCAAAAGAGAAAAAAAATGACAAGAGACATGGTCAAAGTCAAGAAAATGGAAAATGTCTTCATCTCAATTCCCAAAAGAAAGTAGGCTTGGTGAGTTGGATTGGTGGAACGCAAAGATATTTGCAAGGAGTCAATATCCACGGCCAAGAAATTTTCCACCCAACAAAACCTAGAGCGGGTTTTTCACTCTTCATTTTTTAAAAATATATTAAAATTTAAATTTTCATATTTATTTCAATCATAAAAATATTAATATTCTATTTTTATGTTGACAAGACTTTCTAAATATGTTTTCTAAAACACATTTTGCATTTTTATTTACAATTGTCTATGCTTTGAGGTTTTTAAATATTTTTTTAACCACTTAGGTTCATTCTTTTCATTTAAAACAAAAAGTGTGTAATTAGCAAATAATAATTAGATTAAATTACAAAACTCCCCTTACAAATATGTTGATTTCAAACATCTATACGCTTCTTCAAATTTCTTTTTTTAATGATAAGAGATTTTTATGTTTCGTGTAGTGCATCCTTACTTTGAATTAATTTAAATAAATTTATTTATTTTTATAGTTTCTCATTATTGTTCTTTTTTAAATCTTATAAAAAATTAAATGATTAATAAATATTTATATTAATTAATTTATTATTTTTTATAAAATATATATGAATGAGACATGTATCAAATTTTTAATCTCATTTATGAAATTTTTGTTGATGTGTATCATAATTTTTCTTAATTTATAACATTTTAAAATCAATACTACCATTTATAAAGATATTAAATGGGTTTTCTAATCCAAAATTTATTTGCTTCATTCTTCAATCAAAATTTACTAAAAACATTTTTAAATCATCTTGAGGAAAAAATGTTAAATTTTGGATCAAAACTCACAAAACAATTTCTTATACAACTTTCATATTCTCAAATTTGATAATTATTAAAAAATCTAAAAAAAAATTGTATTTCAACTTTAAGATTTAGCTTAATTGATTTTATGCAATTATCTTTAACGTTGAGAATATTTGAGATTGATATCTCAACATTTGTAATATCTTCTCTTATCCTTCAATTATGTTTTTTTTTTTATAAAAAAAATTGTATTTCGAGTAAATCTCAACAATACAAAATATTTTTTTAAGGTTGATATTAATTATTGTTATTTTTTTTTTTTCTATCTCTAATTATTTTTAGAGTGCGTTCAATGAAGAATTTTAAAATTTTGAAATACTAGTATTTTGAAAATGTATCATTTAAAATAATAGAATTTGTAATAGTATTGTTTGGATAATTATTTTTTAAAAATAAATTTTAAATATTAAAATTTGATGAGATAAAAAGTAATTATAATAAATAAATAATGCTATTAGACCTAGAATAAGCAAAATACTAACAAATATTAAATTTGTAAAAATGTATAATAATACTAATAATATGAAAATTAAAAAAATTATAATGAATTTTTATAGTTACAATTGAAGAAAACATAAATTATAGAAAAAAGAAAATATATTAAATATTAACTTCTTATTATAAAACCAAAGAATTTAATAAATTTCACTTCTTTAGATAGAATTTGAAAAAAAATTTAAACCTTCTAAAATTCATAATTTAAATTCTAAATTTTATTTTATCAAATAAAAAAATTTTATTTTAAATTAAAAAAAATTTATTAATGAAATCCCTCTTTAAAATTTCACATCCATAAGTAAACAGGTTGAGAATTTAACTTAAAAAATAAAAATAAATAAAAAAACTTCCATCCTTTTGCCGGCCATATTTTTTGTTCGGAATTTAATGAAGTGTCTGAAAGGAAATTTCCGACGGTAACCTTTGACGTCTGAAAGGTAAATAAACCAAACCAAACAGCGACAAACTGTCGTAAATTACGCAATAATCCTTGTCTTTGGATGGATGTTACCGAGCCTTAAACTGCAAAGCTTCGTTTAAACCAAGCTTCAATGTCTCTATCCAAGTGCCAAAAATTTTTTTTAGTTTAATTGTACTCAATTATTTTTAATATAAATAAGGAAAAAGAAAACTCATCTCTTATCGATTTGTTTCATTTCCAAGCAAAGAAAAAGAAAGACCTTGGACTTTTCATTAAAGCTTTATAAGAGAAGCAAAAAAACAATTCAGGCTCCCAAAAGAAGCGCCATTTTCAGGTAAATTTTTACACTCCTTATGTTTGATTTTTTATTTAATTGGTTTGTTCGATTCTGATCATGATTGTTCCTTTTTTGTTTTGGGTTTTGAATTGATTTTGGGAATTTCGGTGTTTGCTAAGAAAATGAAGGAAGTAATTTGGGCTTTCTTTTTCTTCTTCATTTTTTTTGGAAAATTGAAAAAACTGAACATTTTGAGTGAAAGCTGATTTTTTTTTTTTAATTTTACAGAACTAAAGCTGAAAGCTTTAAGGTAGTTGGTTTGCCTTTTTTTTAAAATTTATTTGGAAATTTTTTTGTGGGTATTGCGTAATAGGAAGAAAATTTTAAAAAATAAATAAAAGAGAAGAATTTGAGTTCTATATGCAAATAAATAATAAAAGAAAGAGATACAGAGCAAGGGAATATTTTGCATCTGATGTTCATATGCGAAGGGTTTCCAGTAATGACACTAAAAAAAAAAAAAGATTTCGACTTCTTGTATCTTGCTGAACTTATTACATTCCAAACAGTTGAATCTAACATTAAGTTTTAAAGTCTAGCACTTGTATGTTAGTTTTGGAAGTAAATTTTGCAGTTATAGCTTCACATATTTTCTGATTTTAATGGGAATTTTTGCTGCATTATTGTGTGTTATAAGGACCTTTCCTTTTGGATACAAATGGGTGATCATCTGGTTTTATGTGTTGACCGTCTCATAACACCTGAAAGTTTGCAATCAATGGAACAAGCTGAGGCTGTGGGATCTTCTGGTGAAGGTTCTTCTCAAGGAGCTGAGCCTCATTCTTGTGCTATTGATGTTAAGGAAATGGAAGAACATGGTTCATGTGATGAAGAAGAACCACTAATCCAGACAGTTGAATGCCGAATCTGCCAGGAGGAGGACAGCATTAAGAATTTGGAGACACCTTGCGCATGCAGTGGCAGTTTGAAGGTATTCACTTTTTGGAGCATTTTGACATCTAACTCGTTTCTGCTCCATATAATGTATTCAGCTTCAAAATTTTGCAGTTACCATTAGCTATAAGTATTATCAGATTCCTATTTTGTGGAAAGATATTTGTGAGCTATGTTGAGTGCCATAACGATGTGAAGAAAGGGCTTGATGGGTTTTTCTTTCTTCTTTACTTTCAGATTACTTCTAATCCTTCCTTTTTAATCATTATATGATTTCATTGGTTCATATTCATATTTTTGTGGTATAATAGCTTTAGCTGACTAATTTTCATTGTCCAGTTTGCCCACAGGAAATGTGTTCAGCATTGGTGCAATGAGAAGGGAGATATAACTTGTGAGATATGTCATCAGGTAAACCCCTTTTTAAGAATCTGGAATTATTGCTATCTGATTAGTTCATATACGAGGAAGAAATCTATTTAACTTTTGTATTTTCATTTGGCCTACATCAATTTCACATATTCATGAAAATAAACAAGTGCATGGTTTTGGAGGGTAACAGTTTTAAATTCCTCTTCTTTGTTTGCTGATTTACTAATTAAGTCGTAACGACTATGGCATATAGTTGCACATTTACCTGGTTTCATGATGTTTTTTCTCAAGTACTTAAAGAGGGGTAAAACCTTTATATTGTGGCTCTTTTCAATTTCAGATGAGGAAATATTGAACACTTGTCATATGGTTGCTTTATTTTTCCTTAATGTTTTAACTCCCTGATCTTGAGGGAGGTTTTCCAATTTTACCTTTTGGTTGCCTGTGTGTTTTTGTTGACTTGTCATGGCATTTCATCTGATAGTATTGAATTTTTTGTTGTTATTTTATGCTAACAACAGTCTTAAATGCTCAAGGATGCTTTTTTATGCTCTTTGGTATCCTAGGGGAACCTTTTAGTGGATTTTATTTCCATATGAAAATCTTGGTTCTTTGTCCAAGTTAGGGGTGTAAGTAAGCCAAGTCGAGTCATTCCAGGATCAGGCTTGAGCTCAGCTCTATTTGAAAACTCGAGTCTTGAAACTTGGCTTGAGCTCAACCAACTTCATTTTTCATACTTGAGCTTGGTTCTTAACTTAGTTGAGTAGCTTGAGCTTGGCTTGTAACTTACTCAAGCAACTCAAGATTGGCTCGATAGGCACAATTAGACTTGGTAAAATCATAAATATGGACAATAAACACCTTATTTTCGTAATTTACTTATATATACATATTAAGGTCATGTTTGGTGTACAAGATTATGATATGAAAAATAATATTATGAATAGGATTAGATTAACTAATGTTATCCTATCTTATGTTTGATGTATGCAAGGATTAAGATAGGATAATTTATTTATTGGTTAAAATTATCCTTCCTCAAAGTTTATACAATTTAAATTATTGATGTAATTTTTAAGGGCATAATAGGACATGTAAGTTTAATCCAATAGATTAAAAATAATCCTCTACTTTTTTAAAGGATAGAGTTATCCTATTGGCATAGGATATCTAATCATTTCAATAATCCAATCCTTTTATTTAAGTGCATAACAAACATGTGATAGGATGATTAGTATCCTATCCTTCAACTAATCCTATGTGCCAAACATTGCCTAAATATATTATACTATAATTAAAAAAATAAAAGGTTTGATTATGCTCACGAGCCTCTCAAGTTGACCTGAGTATTCACTGATAAATTAAAAATATTCACTGAGTTGACCTGAGTAGCTTATGAGTAGCTTGACTTGTTTTCACCTCTAGTCCAAGTTGTGATTTTGTCCTTTCTTTTAGTTGTTCTAGGCTTAATCCTTTAACCCCAAATGTAAAATCAGTTATGTCATTAAAGGGTTTTAAGTCCAAAAGTGTTAATTTTAATGTGTGAAATATGGACAATCTTTCTGTTTCAAGGTGTTAGGATGAAACCGTTGAAGTAAAATGCAGCAGTAGTTCTTTTGCTTTAAGTAAAAGTGCCAATCATATTAATAAAGGGGTTCCTTTCAAACCCTAGTTCTTTATTCTATGAAAATTAGAGCATATTGATCCTTCATTGTATGAATGACAGCGGGTATAGCTGAAAAATAAGTCACCATTGTATATTGTTCACGTGGTCTTTCTCATATAACTTCGTCTACCTAGTTGTTGTCAACTGGCAAATTGTATGCTGATCACAAATCAAGTTTCTGGCATAGAGGCAGTGAACTTATTGAATATGTTGTGGCAATATTCATGACCTATATGTTATCTAAACTAAATTTTTTGTTTAAGTGGAAAATGAGAAGTATATTAGCAGCCACTACTTGAGGAACAATCCTTTTGAAAACTGTGAAGTGATCTGAAATAACTTTACAGATTGCAAGCTACCTGTATGCAAGAATCTACTTTTATAAACATTTTGTTTGGCTTAAAGGTTGGATGTTGCTGATCTGCCTCTTCTATGTTCAACATGACATAGGTTTGGCTTTATGTGTTGGAGAATTAAAAAATGTGTCTCAGGTTTAAATTTTAGTTTTGCCTGCTAAAAAATTTGGGCTTATGCATCTTTTGATAAAATTGTTTATTTTGCTGTTGCATGTTTTCAAATGACAGAAGGGTTTATTTACAAATATTTGTGCCACAATGCTCTGTGCATGCTATCAGATGCATTTGTCAGTCATAATCTGCTATTAGCTGCTACTTGGCGATTGTTGCTGTCCATGTGATATATCAAAATATGCATTTGTATTTTCTGGAAGACAAAAATATACTTTTTCTATTGTGGAAGGTTCATGTGATAAGTATGCTTCATTACCTGAAATAGTTTTAGTTTTGAGTTGAATAATTGGACCAATTTACTGACTTTTTCCTGCAAAAAATCTTTGATTTGCAGCCTTACCAACCTGGATATATGGCACCGCCCCCTCCCCCTCAGTCAGAGGATGCAACAAGTGTGCACAGGCAAGTGTCAAGTGTGCACTTATTTAGCCAGAAGATTGACATGATAAAAGATCAGTGTTGCTCTAACTTTTCTCTCTTTTTCTTTCCTGGTGTTTTTTTTTATTGATGTTGGTCTTGTAACCATAATTGAAACTTTGATATCTCAAAGAGCCTTTTCTGTATCTGAGGATCCATCTATATCAGAAGCTGTTTGGTAATCTGTAGGATGAGTTGCTATCGTATGCTCATCACTTTTGACCTCTTATCATCCTATTTTTTATATTGATACAGTGAGGGTTGGACAATCTCTGGTGCTCCTTTGGATTTGCGTGATCCTCGAATTTTAGCGATGGCAGCTGCAGAACGCCATCTTTTGGAGGCAGATTATGAAGAATATGCTGATTCCAATGCTAGTGGAGCTGCATTTTGCCGCTCTGCTGCCCTAATTGTAATCTTTTATTCCTCTATAAAAATAAAACTATTTGTTAGCTGTTCTTACTTAATTGGCATGATTTAATAAAAATTCTTGGTGGTTCCTTACTTCCTTTCATTTTCTTTGAGATTTTTGCTCACGGTAGATCTTGCATTGATGTTCAAAGCATCTTGTGTGTTATGCGATGCAGTAATTTTTTTTTTTTTAATCTCATTTGCCCATGTCTTTTTAAACTGGAATGTTGAATTGGGTCCAAAATCCTTAGTTTCTAGTTTTTGGAGGCAAATGAAATCAGACTTTTGGTTCTCAGTTGTACCAGACTTTTTTATCTGTCCTTATTGTCTTGTCCCATCCAAATCAATAATAGGAATTAGTGTCAATTTTCTTCTTCTAGTTCTGTTTAGATCTTATTTACTCTGTTTATTTGCAGCTAATAGCTCTTCTGCTCTTGAGGCATGCTCTTTACCTAACGAATGGAGATGTGGATGATGATGATGCATCTACTTTTTTCTCTGTAAGCATCATTGTATGAATTTTCATTAATCTTTTAGTAATTTACATTGTTTTGTTGTTTAATTCAAATTTTTTTATGCTATGTAGCTTTTCCTGCGTCGTGCTGCTGGTTTTCTTCTCTCATGTTACATCATGGTCTGGGCCATCAGCATATTGCAGCGCCGAAGGCAGAGACAGGTAAGGCCTTGTTTTCTTAAAAAATGAAAGCACAATTTTACATTAGCAATTTGGCATGTTGAGTTTAGTTGATCTACATTACAGAAGAAGAAAACTGAAAGTATAGATTCTTGTCTTTGTATGAGATATGTACTCCACACGCTTGATAATCTGGAGACTTATTAAGAAAATATTGCATCAAAACTAATTCATTTATCTTTCCCCTATCAAAACAGGAAGCAGCAGCTCTTGCAGCAACTGAAGTTGCATTTATGATACAGGCAGGGCAACGTCGGGGTGTACAGTTCACTATAGCACCAGGACCTCCAGCGACTCCTCATCAGGAGCCACTTCCATAATATGACGGTACTTTTCTCTAGTAAGAGGCTATGGCGGTGAAGAGGGTAGGTTACTAATGAAATTGCGGTTGTCTTGCTCGTTCTACTATCAGTGAAAGAAAACAGGGAGGTTGTGTTCCTCGAGTTTGTTATATTGTACTTCTAGTTGTTTGAAGATTTTTTTTCCTCATTCGAAGTAATCAATTTCACCGTTTGTGTTTGTACATAGATATCATTTTCACTGCATGAGGAACTTGTATTCCTGGCGTTGTTATCACTGAAATTTAATTCCAAACATTCTTCGATACTCCGAAATTTCTGGTGAGGTTGAGGCCGACTCTTCACATTTGAAACAACTTCAATAACTCAAGCCATTTTTGTTCTTATTGTGAATGGTTTTCCCTTTCTCGTATATACTCTGTTTTATATTTGCATGTTTAACTTATCCGATCATGTCATAAGTCATAATACAAGAGGTTGTCCTTGAATGTATCATGTTTAAGGAGGTGAAGTTGATTGCTCTTGTCGGCATTAGGAGTGTAAACTGTAAACGACTGAAGCTACTCTTGAGCCTGCACTCATGAGCTATACTGTATAGCTAGATTTGAAAAAAACTCGAGTTTGACTTGTTTATTGTTGAACCGAGTTCAAGCTACTCAAGTAAAGAATCAAGTTGAGTTCTAGTATTTACTCAACTTGAGAGGTTTATGAACTTCACTGAGGTTTTTAATTTTTTGTAGAGAGGTTATGAGTTTAATGGAGGTTTTTTTTAAGTAAATAATAAAAAATAATGATTAATGTCAATATTTACAAGTTTATGGAGCTTAATGGAGCCTAATAAATCAAATTCGAGCGATTTAATTTACGATTTAAATTCAAATATAAAAATAAAGTTCAATTGAATTCGAGTTGAATTTTAAATTTTAAGTTTTGAGTTGAATTTGGTAATGTATTGCTTGATTTGATTCAATTAAGTTATAAGTTGATTGGTTCAATTCCATTATAAGTTAAACTCAAACATAAAAAGTAAAACTTAATTGAATTCAAGTTAAGTTTAAAATCTCAAAGTTTTAGTTGAACTTCAGCTTGATAATGTATCAATTCATGTATCAATTTAATCCGATTCAATTACACTTTAATTTGTTGACTCAATCCGAATCAATTACACTTTAATTGCCATCTTTTGCCGGTTTCCTGTTATATTTGTTTTTTGTTTCCTCGTACTGTTACATTTCATTCCTGCAGAAGGTCTTCGCAAAATGTTTAATCTACTCAGTTGTGTTCTAAGAAGCAATATGGACCTATGAAATATACTTAATGCTCAGCATGAATAAAGGAGTGAAAAGGTCTTTACAGATCTTCAACAAAAGCCATGTTTGTTTCTCAATAAATTAAAAAAAAAATGTACAACCAGCTGTAAATCTGATGATCTCCATAGAATGGAAGGTTAAAAAAAATCTTGTTCTTTCAACTGGTTGTTTGTCATTTTATCTGTGATATCTGTTCTCCCTGTGAATTCTGAATCGTACTGAAGAGACCTTCCGTTCAACGGCCTCCCAAATCATATCCACAGCATCACAAGGATGGGATGGATACTGATATTGGAAGTGCTGAACAATGTCCTTCAATTTTTCCCACATCTTGGTCCACTGGTCTCTCTTAATTCCTCTAAGAAGGTTCAGTAGGTATCCTTTCTTCACAGCATCTGATGCACGAACAAATATGCAAAATTCTGAGTAGTCGATGACATCTTCAAATGGTAGCTCAATCTCGTCACTTATAATCACAGGAACACAATGGCTGACAATAGCATCAAACAGGCGATTTGAAGAAGGCGTATCACCAGCAATATTGAGGCAGAATTTGGATGAGGCCATCCCTTGCCCGGCCTGGTTGACTCCATTCCCTTGAATGGTGCCAAAAGCAAAGTGTACATCTTTCTCATCTTTGAGAAGGTAATACAGTTCTTGGCGAATGGCTCCTCCCTAAAGAAAAATTTCAGGTAAAAATTTATACTCAGAGAGAGATCTAACCTGGCACATCCAAAATCAAAAACAAAAAAAATTACAGTAACTGGAGAACCCTGTCTCGAACTAATGTAACCAAAGGCACAAAGGAATCTTTTTACACAGAACTCTGCTAATACCAATTTAAGCTAGCAGATAATGCTGCTCTGACTTAAGATTCGCTGCCTATAATCAATTAATCGACTGAGAATCCTAAGACTAATTCACAATCCAACTGCTCACACTGTGCCCCAGAAACGAATAACTCTCTCCCCTTTCCCAAACCAATTCTCCCTTATCTCACCGGCACATGGTGCATGAAAACTTAAGAAAATCTCTACACCTAATACTTTCATTTACTCTTCTATGCCTACTTTTATTAGCGCATTTAAGCCTACATGAATAGTCACCTTCAAAATGGGAGCTCCATGTTATGCATAATCTGGCTATGGCTAGGCTACTAGATGGTTTTGATGATTTCAAAGAACTGTAGGAAGGAAAAAGAAAAACCAATTACTTCCAACTAAAAGTTAAGCTTAAAGAGCACAACAATGGATGGTTGTTATCATCTATCTCCAAACAAGTAACCTAGAAGAAAAATAGCATATAGAAAAAGTGTTAAATGCATATTGTATATTTTCTTCTATTCACATTCACTTGTTGATGTTAACATTGCTCAACAATCAGTTGACAAGTTTACTCACTAGTCCTACCAGGAAAATATTGAGCAACATTTTCAACAAGTCACTTGAATTTTCACTTAAACAAGTTTAAGAAAAAAGAGAAATGTGCCTTAATACAAAGTAGCAGTTTCTATCTCAAGCCATCTAGACAAACAGAAACAAACACTTAGATCTTTCAATGTAAAGGAAGGGAAACTTACGTCTTTCCTGTATATTGCTCCTTGGAAATAGACCAATATTGGGCGTTTATCGAATGGGGCTGAATCAGCACTGGGAATGGTCCTCACGACATGCCTATAAGGAGCTATTATATCCTTCTCGAGATTTGCTATTTCATTAGGGTATCTCCCAAAATCTGCGAGAACAAACATTGCAGAACCTAATTTCCCTCTTACATCCAACATGCTATTTGGATGATGGGCCACAATTAAGTGGTCCTTCCCACCAAATCGCTTCCATTCATCCTGCGTGGTAAGAAACTGAACTAATTTATTCTGCAACATTTGATTAACACTAACTTTCTCCTTTCCTCTAAGCTTGGAATGCCGGTTGTAACTGAGAGATGAAAAGAATGGCACAAAAATTATATCTGCTTGAGTTGAATTCTTCACTCTCATTGCAGCACATGGTCTGACCACATTTGGTGTGTTTGAAGATAGAAGATCAAGGGTGAGCCAGTACTCCATGCTATGCTGTAGATTCAACCCTCCAGGGTATGGTGGGATTCTATTTGGGTTGCTTACATCCGGCCACATTTGATTTGATTTTCCTTTCCAACCCAATAACCCAAAGTGAAATTCAGAAGGCAAGTCATACATATATACCCTTAAAAGAGCCTGACTGGTGTCGCAGGACTCGACTTTTTGCTGCCAAGAAGCACACATGTTCTTCCCATAACTGGATTTCTGACAAGACAACTCTCCATTTTTTATTGGTATTTGTGCATCAACTTGTGAAGACTCAGAGGAGAAGAAAGGTAATTTTATTTGCTCACTTTTGACATTGGATTTTAAGTAAACCGACGTGCCATTAAGAAGAATAAATTTGAAAACCGAGCGAGGAAGAAGATATTTATTGCCAAATTGAAGAAGAAACATAGAAGAAAGGATCAAAAGAAACATTGAGATGGTTATTATAAAGAAAAGAAACCTCGAGGTAAAGATGCCTTTTTCCGACATCAATGACATCTTAAACACCGGCTATCTAATAAATTCAGAGAATAAAACAAACAAGCAAAAGAAGGAAACAAATTCAGTTCTAGCTAAACTGCTAAATTGATGTCTCCATTCAATTTGTAATCACCTATTGCTACTTGGTCAGCACAAAACTAGGGGCTAAAACCCAATTTATTTCTTTAAACCCTGAAAGGGTGTGTTGAGAAGACTTGAAGGAGTCTTTCTTCTATGAAATTTTCTAGCACTAAAGACCAGCTTTCTGTACACTCCCAATCCACTCCCCAAGTAAAAGATATTCCTTTCCTGTGAAGTTGTCTTATGAACTAGGTAGACTCACAGATCTTCTACCTCTCAGAAGAAAACCGTAAGCTTCTTCTCTCTTTGTATTGCTCATCAAAGCAAAATTGAAAATACCATTAATCTGCAACATATCAACAAAAAAAAAATGAACACTCGAAAAGACAGTTCATTTCATCTCATACAAGCAAAATCCCAGGAAAAAAAAATCTTAAAAACTAATATTTATAAACTTGAATGAAAAATTATGGAAAAAATCAGAACTTTATCATCTGGGCATTCAAGCTAGATGATTTGCAGAAATGGGTAGCAGACAAAATTACAAGAGAAATTAAAAAAAAAAAGTACCTTAGGGGGTAGAGGGCCTTCTCCACGGAGTGAAGAATCGTTCTATAGGGAACTCTATAATAGTTACCGGGTACTCTATAAATTTTACTGAGCACTTTTTAAGCTTCGTTGTTAAAGTTAATTGCCATAATTATACATAGTTAAAATTTATTTACTACTTAATCAAATAATCTTGGTAAATACATTTCCCCGTAGGCTGCAGCTGTCAACGATTTGGAAATGAGAACAGAAAAAAAAGAGAAGTGGAATCAGAGACTTTTTCTTTGTCCTTTTTTTTTTCTTTTAAGTTTTTACTTTACTTTGTTGTCCACTTGAATCATAAAGCTCCATTTGTTTTGTTCCTTCGCTTTTGAGATACAACTTCGCTTTCCCAGTGTCCAAAATGTAAAGAAAGAATGGGAGGAAGTTTCTCCATTTATTTTTATGGATTTACTAAAGATTAGCACTCTTAATTTAATCATGAATTAATTCCTATATACTTATAATATACTTCCGTTAAAGAGGGTTTATAGGAATTAATTCATTGTTAAATTCATTAAATTGAAAACTAACATGATTAATTTGAATTCATCAATAAAGATATTACCTTTTTGAACTCTTAATTTACTTTTAAATTAATCCCTCCTTATTATTTATTTGATTAAATAAGATATATAATCACTTTTTAAAAATATTATTTTTAAGACATTTGTTTTTTCATTTTGATTAAAAATATCATAATATATTTTTTAAAGATCTTAAAGATATATTTTTCTAAATTGATTTAACATATTTAAAATTTTACTTTTAGAGTACTCAACTAAAAGGTCGAATCTTTATTAACAAGGAAAAGGGTTCTCCCCTTTACTAATTGAATAAGACACTCATTAGCAAAACCTTATTTTTATTTGTTCCAAATTTTGCATAGCAAGAAATACTAAGTTTCTTTAAAAAGAAGTGAAATGCAGCTGATTTTACTACTATAAATTACAGTTCACCCTTTAATTACTTATCGCTAGATGAATGAAATATACTATGATTATATTTGATGCATAAGATAATAAATAAGATATGATAATAATTATTTTATATTATATTTGATTTATATGTAAAGAAAATGATAAAATTAATAAGAAAGATTAGTCATCTTCTTGATATAAGATGATTCAATTTTTTTAAAGTAGAGAATATTATTGTTAAGTCATGAGATTGAATTTACATGTCTTATTATATTTTTAAAATTATATTAATTTAAATTGTATTAACTTTTGAAAAACGATAATTTTGATCAATAAATAAATTATTCTATCATAATCTTTACATACATCAAACACAAGATAATATGATATTATTTAATTTAATGCTAATTATAATATCATCTTATCTTATTCTATTACAATCTTACATACCAAATGTGCCTTATATACCATATATTAAAATTAGGCCGGTAAACATCCTTTTAGTTTTCTTTTTACAAGTCACCAATTCCTTCCTCAATTAATATTACAATTAAATGCTATTCACTTATCACTATTTTAAATGAATTGAATTAGTTTTAAACACGTGTGATGTATAAGAATATATTTATAAGTTGTAACTCATTTTTTCATTTTTAGATTACAGTCTCTTTTATATGAATGTTGGTGTATTGCTGTACATTTGGTTCTTATATAAATTTTGAGCATGGACATTTGTTGATATTTAAGAATCACCAATGCTTTTTAATAAATTATTATTGAAATTTGATCTATCTAGCTTTTTTAAGCAAAACATTAAATTTAGAGTTAATATCATAAACGAACCCTAAATTCTAGTAAAATATTCATTGTGGTATATGAATGTAAAACTTTTTTAATATGATATTTGAACTATGAATTTATTAATTAATATAGTACTTGTAAAGTTATTTGTCTTGTATAATCATTTGAAATTAATCATATTAGGAGTGACTAACACATTAATTAATAGATTTATAATTTAGGTACAATGTTAAAGATTTTTAAAATTTAAGTACTATTTTGAATATTTCACTATAATTTAAAAATAATTCATGATATTATCCTTAAATTTAATAAAAAATAATTTATTTTTATTTAAGAAAAAAGAAGTGTCATTATTCCAAGATTATATTCTCATATTTTAAATGTATCATGCTAATGAAATAATTTCATTTTTTTAAAGTATACATTATATATATGCAAACTTTGTATTATACTGTAGCGGTAATGAGTCTAAACATTGATTTTTTTTGTCTTACTCATTTTAATATTTTTAAAATAAATATATTTTAGCATCCTTATAAACAAAAATTACGTAATTAATTTTTGAGAATTAAGGTCAAGGATGTTGATATGTTATATTATTATTTTTTTTGAAGTTTGACTTGATTTAAAAAAGTTAATTTGGTAATTTTAACATTGCAGGCAAAAAATATTAGAAAAATTAATTCTTCTAATATTTTTAAACAAAATTAAAGGAGTTAATAAAATATATTATTAAAATAATTCTTCTAATATACTTGTTATTATAAAAAGAGAAATATAATATACCCCACCCACAAGCAATAATAATAAGAAAAGTTTTGGCAATCGTTGGACAAGAAAGCCATAAAAGGTGCATGCTCACGAGCCATATGATAATTTCATAGATAAGTAGGACCCCTATGCTAACCGACACAATTTTGGTTGGTTTATTTATTTCATAAAAGAAAGAAATAATCGATTGGTTTATCACAATTTTTGTATTTTTGGGGAAGGTTTTATGTAAATCTTATGAAAAATGTTTGTTTATTGTAGCTTAATTTTGCTTCATTGTTTTTTTTTTTTTTTAATTTTTTTATTTAGCTATGTAGGGAAGGGAATGGGGTCGGATTCTTCCATAATGGGTGACTCGAACACGTTCTCCATAGAAACTACCTTAGGCATTTTATGCTGTTTTGCTTTTTAAAGAATGAAACTGCCTTAAGCGGTTAAGGATTGCTACGCCCTTTCTTATACTGATAAGATGGCCTTTGGGCACTATTAAGAGAGTACAGAAGATTATCTCAAAAATCACCGGAAAAAGAGAATATAAAGGGAGAGAAAAAAATAATGGTTATTTTTTTGAAAAAAATATTCGCATGCCTACTTAAGAGCATTGAATGCCCTCATGTTTTTTTAAAATATACCAAAAATTTTTGTTTTAGAATTTTTTAAAATTATTTTGTCATTGATTAACTTTGGGAGGAGAGATTACACAAGAATTATTAAGATAGGTCTAATAATTTTTAGATTTGTGTTGACTCATGAACTCATGAATTTTTCTAGTAATTTATTATAAAAAATCATGACTATTTTTATGAGGATTTTCATTGTTATGAGGATATAGACATAATTTTTGAGAGTTATAAGACTGATGGTGCAATTGGCGCAATATTAAGTGGATCCAAATAATAATATTGAGGGGTATATCATCAAGGTCAATGACATAATCCAATAATTAATTTGTGCGGCTGTATGCATATTAGGAATGACCATATCAAATATAAAATGTTGAAAAGTACATTTTTAACTCTTAGACAGAGGAATCTTTTTCAAAATATTTAGATGTATAAGGAGAGTGATTCTAATTATGAAACATTAATTAAAATTTTCTAAAGGAATATGTGAAAATAGTGGTAAAGAGGAGTGCAACCCTCTCAGTTGCCCTCTTTATAATGGGAATACAAAATTCATAGACCTTTATGGATGGGCAATGTGAATGCAAAACTATCAAAGGAATTTTTAAAGTCTATCCCTTTACTTAAACAAGTCATTAGTAAATGATTTAAAGCATAGTTTAATTAACATTTAGTAAATATTTTTTATGAACATGTTTATGGATTTAGTATATGCTTTACAAGACTTATTTACATGAAAATCAATATATGTTATTGATTATATGTTGATAATCTTATGGTCAATGAGAGTTCTAAGATAATTGAATTGTATTATATTAGAATATTGATTTTGCATAATAAAATAAATTAATAATAATCAAACATGTTAGATATAAAATTTGATTATGAATATAATGACCTTTTGGTTTCATTTTTATATAAATGGTACTCGTTATTTTATTTGTGACATTATGGAAAATAAGATATGTGCAATGCTATGCATTAGTTAGTGTATATATCTCTTGAATGTAAAATTATACTTTGAAATAGATTCTACTTCTAAGAACATTATTACTGAGTTAATAAGGGTAAAAAGCTAAATAGGGATAATTATGAGATTTGGAGTATGAAAATCCAATATGTACTTGAAGAACAAGTTCTTGATGTTTTTAACAATGTCCTCGATGAACCCAAGGAAAAAATACATCCTAACACAGAAAGGACTGAGAGGCTTATGAGGCTTGAAAAAAGAAAAACTTCACTGCACACATTACTTGTTTAATAGTATGGATAATGATATTATGCGTGAGTTTCAGTTTCATGGAATAGCTAAAGAGGTATGAAATGTCTTGAAAGCAAAGTCTGGTGCAACTTTGATCAATAAACTAAGACAACCTATTATCAAGTTTGACAGTTATAAAAAATGACTTAATCATAATATAAAGCAGTATGTGAGGTAAATGTCAAACATGATAAGTAAGTTGAAGTAGGCTAGCTACACTCTAATAGATGAACAACAGATTTAAGCAATCACCCATTTTTTATCGTACAATTAGGAGCATATGAAGGTGTACTTACCTATAATGAGAGTATAAGAACTTTCAATGATGTTTCCTTTCATCTTTAATTGAAAAAAAATTGTATGAAAGCATCTAAACCTAGTACTAATATTTATATGGCATTGTTTAGCTAAAAAAAAACTTCAGGCTTCAAGTATAGGCCACAAAGTAGAAACAAAAGAGAAAGCTTCAAATAGTGGCTATATCATCAAAAGGATATGGTTCTAAGGTTCATCATTAAAAGAACATATTGTGAGTTAAGTGCTTTAAATGACAAAAAGAGGTCATTTTGCTCGTGAATCTAACAAGCCAAAGAAGGTATGAACCCTTAAAGCATTTTAACGTAATGCTAATAGTACTGTGTTTGTTTTTAGTACTATTATAATGACTGAA